AGTGGATAGCTTCGTTGGGTGCAGTTTCCACTGTGCTCTGCACCCCCCTGTGATGCATTGAAGCTCTTCATGTATCATGTCAGAAATCAAGAAGCTTCAAAAACTTCAATGCTCTCTCATCCTGCATGACTCAAGGAAACATGCAACTCTTGAAATGACGAGACCATTCTGTTGTGGCCGCAGCAGTGCGGTTGTCACACACACACACACACACACACATATATATGCCCCAAGGGGGGCGATGAAAGACCAACATCGGACAGGACAATGAGAAGCAAACGTTTAAGGCGGAGAACAGGCGAGGTAGATCAGCACCACAACCAGGTCGAGCTCAGCACCACTTTACCAACACTAGCAGAAGAGACATGTTAACTGTTGCACACGCACAACAACTGCAAGAGGTGCAGAAGAAGTCCACCAACACCAACAAGAGGGAGAACAATACCACTTTACCAACATTAGCGGGGAGGAAATGTGTCTGTACCTGATGCAGCCTCAGTCAAACTATCTGTTCACAGCTGATGGTGCATTACGAAAACCACCAAGCAGTGCCGTCCGGGCACCCCTGCGTCTGCAATTTGGCTGATCCCGATGACATGTCTGTGCGCACTCACTCATGTCACAAAGCCTACTGCAGATGATCCCCATGAATGAATATCTCAGTCAGCAGAGCTCAGTCAATCCCGGATGCTCGGGTCTTCTGGGATCTGGCCCCGTGACGGGACAACACACCAGAACCATACACACATTGATTTGTCTTGGTCTGATGAGACGGACAGGTGACAGACCATCATCCTGACAGACCGGGCAATGAAGGTGAATGATAATTTGGTTCCAAAGGCACGCCAGACACCAGGAATGGCATACCTGCAAAACAGAATGAAGATGATGCGTAAGGGCGCGGGTCTTGCCCTGGCTGTGCCAGACACAGGGAATGACACAGCACGAAAATGAGATGAAAGTGAAAATGAAATGACGCTCCCCAAGCTATCCTCGCGAGGATCCATGGGCAAGCACGCAGGTACGTTTGCCTCGCGAGGGTGGGGGAGCTTCGTTGGACAGGGCTCCCCACCCTCCCCCCTGTCCCTCCAAGTGGTTGTGAACCCATGCTTGTATGTACAACAAGTTGCGCACACGCACACACACACACACACACACACACACACACACACACACACACACACACACACACACACACACACACACACACACACACACACACACACGCAACACACACACACACACACCCACAACACGCACACACGCACACACGCAACACACGCACAACACGCACACACGCACACCACGCACACACACGCACCACACGCACACACACACACACACACGCACCACGCACCACACGCACCCACAGCACAACACACACACAGACACACAGCACACAGACACACACACCACACACACACAACACACACAGACACACACACACACACACACCACACACACACACACACACACACACACACAACACACACACACACACACACACACAACACACACAACACACACACACACACACACACACACACACACACACACACACACACACACAACACACACACACACACACACACACACAAACACACGACACACACACAGACACACACACCGACACACACACAGACACACACACAGACACAGTCACACACACACACACAGACAACACAGACAACAGACACACACACACACACACACACAGCACACACACACACACACACAACCCACACACACACACACACAGACACAGACACACACCACACAGGACACGGACACAGACACACACACACACACACAGACACACACACACACACACACACACCACACACACAGACACCACACACACCACACACACACAGACACAAACACACACACACACACACACACACACACACACACACACACACACACACACACACACACACACACACACACACACACACAGACACACAGACACACAGACACACAGACACACAGACGCACAGAGGCACAGAGACACAGAGACACAGAGACACAGAGACACAGAGACACAGACACACAGAGACACAGAGACACAGAGACACAGACACACAGAGACACAGAGACACAGAGACACAGAGACACAGACACACAGACACACAGAGACACAGACACACAGACACACAGACACACAGACACACAGACACACAGACACACAGAGACACACACACACAGACACACAGACACACAGACACACACAAAGACACACACAAAGACACAGACACACACACACAAAAAAAAAAAAACACACACACACATAAAGAGAGAGAGAGAGAGAGAGACAGTGAGAGACAGAGAGAGCACAAACCAAGGCAACTCAGGAAACGCAGCGAACGAGACCGTTGGACACCGCTGAGCCCCAGTGGTTCCTTGCGCTTGCTGGAATTCAGAGAATAGTAGCCAGTAGCACCCTAAACCCTAAACCCTAAACCCTAAACCCTAAACCCTAAACCCTAAACCCCTAAACCCCAAAAAAAAAAGAAACCACGGGAGCCCCATGCACGATGAAGCGCCCAAAGCAAAGCACCAAGTGACATCAAGCCCATGACTCTCAAGTATTTCAGCCCCCTAGGCCCCCAAAAGGCCGCAGATGTGGAGTGTAGAAGTTGTAGGTGTGCCCCAAAACCCAAAACCCCGAAGATAGGGTTTGGGGTTTAGGGTTTAGGGTTAGGGTTTAGGGTTTAGGGTTTAGGGTTTAGGGTTTAGGGTTTAGGGTTTAGGGTTTGGGGTTTAGGGTTTGAGGGAAGCGCCCCTTGAAACTGTGGATGTCTCAGCAAGCCTGAGGCTGCGGCATACACAATCAACACCAGTAGGGTCATGGCCCACACCAGCGCTTTCAGGGTATGGAGGATGGATGTTACCAGCATGCGCAGCGCGATGACAAACCGGAAGATGCTGACAAACTGGGCCGTTCTCAAGATCCGGCTGAGGCGAACGATGCGGAAGGACTTCAAGCCGCTGACGCCCGCGATGCTATCCAGGTCGTTGCTTCCTGTGCCAGAGCAGGAACCAGGAGGATCAAGGACAACAGGACAGGCAGGAGGGTTTAGGGTTTAGGGTTTAGGGTTTAGGGTTTAGGGTGTAGGGTTTAGGGTTGAAATAGAAAGGTGCTTGTGAAGCTCTAACCCGGTACCCACCTGTGATGTCCACCACTACTTCCCAGAGGGAGCTCAAGACGATGAAGAGGTCTAGCCAGCTCCAGGCCCAATCGTCAGAGATGAAGAAGCGCAGACCGTCTGCAGCGAGGCGCAGAAGCAGCTCGATAGTGAAGATTGCCGCATAGAGGTACTGAAAGACTTTAAACTCAATCGGCTTCGGCCCAGGCTGATCCACACTCCGCTGGACATCGATCCCTATGAAGATGGCGTTTGTAACCACGACGAAGGCGAAGAATGACTCGAAAAACCGGTGGTGCACCATGTTCCTATACTCCCTCTTAGAACCTTAATAGTATTTTGCATATTCCCTTGGGTTTTATACAAGCGAAAAGAGGACAAATAATTCCTAAGGAGGCTATAGGTTCCAGATACACTCGTGGCAGGCCGAGTATGACTCCGGCGCCTTCTTGGAAGTGGGGCTGGTTGCAACCGAGAACGATCGGGGTAGACGCGGCTGCTTCATCTGGTTCGCAACGCGCGTTTTAACCACATCCTCTTTAACGGGAGGATCAGGGGAAGCTCTTGTGGGCTTCAGGTCGGTCTCAATCTCAGCTGGCCTCACGCGGGTGGTGGGTTGAGACTCCTCTCCCTCCGCCCGAGGCCGGCTGGCCTTACTGGTCATGCTCATCCTCCGGGTCGGAAGAGCGATGCCCCTAAGCACTTCATCCTGGAAGTCGAGTCGACGAAGCACCTCCTTGTGCTGCTGCCTCAACTACGCGAAAAAAAAAAAAAAAGGAACACCGCCCTGGGGCCGAGAGGGTTGCCTGAGGTTTAGGGCTTCCATGATTCAAAGATGGGCAGAAAAGGCTTGAAAAAACACAGCTCGTATTCTCAGAATAACACAAGAATAATCTTAATAACTAATAAGAATAATTCAGAATAACAAGAATAATAATGATAATAATAATAAAAACAGTAATAATGATAATCATAATCATCATCATCCTTCCCCGGGGAGCCTGAGCAGCTCCGAGAGGGCCCCGGAGTCGCCCGAGTCCTCCACCGCGACCGGCAGGGGCTCCAGGGGCACCAGGGGCCCAGCCATGCCGTCGTCGCGCAAGGCCAAGAGTGGGCCGAAAGTGTGGGCCGAGACCCCAAAAAATCCGTGCTCTAGGAGGGCCTAGAAAGCCCGCATGACTGCCACATCTGCTAGCCGTAGGGTGATGTTTCTACCGATTTTTTGTGCCAGTAGTGGGCCCAGCTAAACTGCGACCTACGGAACTCTCTGACTACAACCGGTTGGAACATCTTGCCGCTGCATGTTTTCGGGCCCTGGTCGCCAGAAGCAGGACAGCAAGAGTTGCAAAAGACTATGCTTTTGAGAGCCGGGTGTATACCTGATGAACCCAGAGCCTGTAACTTTTTTCATGTTATTCCCATGCAAGCACTTCTAGGATGATTCCGTAGCTTACCCAAAGCATGTATGTCTTGGGTTCCCAAGGCTTCGGAACTCCCAGCATGCCTTCATTCCTGTCGATGTCGCCATCACAGGTTTAGGGTTTAGAATTTAGGGTTTAGGGTTTAGGGTTTAGGGTTTATGGTTGAGGGCTTAGGATACTGTCACTACTATCAATACTCGTATTACGATGACTGACGATTTAGTTCGGTTAGTTCCAAAGAACAACTATCTTGTCTAGTACCATTCTGAGCAGAATTGCGATTCCGATTGCGATTGCGACTACGAGTCTTATTCCCATTACTATTCCGATTACGATTACTACTAGTAGGACTCGGAGTGCTGAAGACCCGCAAGATTACTGTCCTCATTGCTAAGCGACTAACCCTAAACCCTATTGCCCCGCTGCAGTCCACAAAGATCATCTCGGCGCAGAGTTCAAGGTCTTTTGGGTCTTGGTAGTCGAAGATGTCAATCCTTGCGGTTTAGGGTTTAGGGTTTAGGGTTTAGGGTTTAGGGACTAGGGTTCTTAGGCCATAAACCCCTAAACCCCTAAACCCCGAAACCCCTAAACCCCCAAAACCCCTAAACCCCTAAACCCTTAAACCCCTAAACGCCCGAGTCGCAGGATGGCTGTCTTCGTCCGCTTGCCCAGCTCATCAAAGAGCACCTTGTGCGCATCCAAGATGGGGAAAGCCAAGCCCTAAACCCTAAACCCTAAACCCTAACCCCTAACCCCTAAACCCTAAACCCTAAACCCTAAACCCTAAACCCTAAACATCCCTAAACCCTAAACCCTGGGCCCCTTCCCCAAGGGTCCATGTACCTAAATGGGGAATACTTGAGCCTTAAACTACTTGCTATGCAGTGCCTGTGGGGCTCAAGTCTAATATGATAATTAGGTACATGGACCCTTAGACCACTTTATGGTCGCCTCAGCTAGAAGGAGCATGCTGTTTAAGAGAAACCCCCCCCAAAAAAAGGGCCCAAGCAGATGGATGCTCCCCGGCTTGATTTGGAAAGCAGACTGCAGGCATGTAAGTCACGGCACCTTGATCTCTTGGGAGTTGAGCTTCTTGATGAGCCTGCCACTGTGAGGGTTTAGGGTTTAGGGTTTAGGGCTTAGGTTTTAGGGTTGAATCGCCACACTTGCTTCTGGCACAGGGATGTGTGCTCATGGACGACACTGACCATCCAACATGCAAAGCCTATTCCGGCAGGGCAGGTGACCACAGGCGCTCGAAAAGAAGTTGATCAAGATGTGGCAACGGGGATCGAATCTGGGCGGAACGGTTTCTACAGACGTCCTCGTCATCAAGGACTTTCTGCATCTTTTGCCTGAGGCCATTGAGGTCAGCCACTTGCTGTCCAGTGCAATGCTATGGTCCACTTCTTTTGTTTGATATCCCCCAGATGCGAGGATTCCCTTATAATTCAGACCCCAAGTACCCCCTCACTTCGGAAACCCCCACATCTTTGCTGCTCCTGAGGCCCCTGCTTATGTCGATATTCGGATCGAAGTAGCCTCCCTGAACGATGCGCAATACGTGGGCTTGCATGGGGGCATCTTTTCCCTGGGGCTGTCCAGCTCAGGTCCGGGTTGTGCTAGAAAGCGGGTGCCTGCAAAGGCGCAGAGACTCCCGCAAAGAATCCCACCCAGACAATGGTCTTCGTCGAAATAGCCGCAGTAGCTGTAGCAGTAGAAGTATGAGTCGCCACAGTCTACTTCTACTCCGCGAGCTTTCTTATTTTTCCTAAACGCTACGGCTGTTTGGCACTTTCTTTGTCTGGAATGGGTATCCCCCGTAGCCGACAGGTGTGCCCCAGCCGCCCGACCATAGGAGCGGCCACAACCCCACCACACCCCCTCCGTCCGCCCCCCCCAACACCCCCAACCCTATCGGGATTTTCGGCCGACTTGTTTTTCTTGTTTTGCCACTCCCACATTCGGTTTTTCTCGTTTCACCACTCAGCAGGCTTCACGCCCACGATCTCCGGCTTGGGTTGCCTCGCCGCTGGGCATGCCCAGGCCAAGGCCGGTCGCGAATATTCTCCTTGCACTGGTACCCCTGTACTGCTCGTCCCAATAATCCTTCAGAGAGTCCTCCGAGAATCCTGCACCCCTAACAAATCGTGGAGTGCCCATTTTCAGAGAATATTCAGGGATTTCGTAGAGTATGCCTGGACTGCCCGTTCCCAGAGAGTCTGGCAGGGAATCGAATGTCTGGAGCGCCCACCCCCACAATCCCGCAAAGAGTCCGAAAATTGCTCAGCTTTAGGGTTGAGATGCTCGAAGTAACCAGAATTTACATGCACAGTCACTATCTAGTAACTCTCGTATTCCGATGCAACTGTTGTTTTGAAGGCTGCTTGCAAAAACCCTAAACCCTAAACCCTAAACCCTAAACATCCCTAAACCCTAAACCCTATAAACCCTAACTCCTGAACCCTAAACCCCAAACCCAGATTATGCTTCTGTTTCATCGTATATGCCCCGCTGCAGCAACCCGAGACTATACCCCCCCTTAGAACTTCAATCAAAAGTAATGTGTTTAATATCCTCTTGGGTTTAGGGTTTAAAGGGTTTAGGGTTTAGGGTTTAGGGTAAACAAAAAATAAGAAGTAATTCCCTGGGGGGACAAAGGGAGACCTGTGGCCCCGGCTGCGTGGCCCTTCATGTCGCTGGCATCGTCCGCAGCAGCATCCTCGAGCACCTGCTGTTTTGTGTATGTGGGGGGGGGGGGGAGTTAGGGTTTAGGGTTTAGGGTTTAGGGTTTAGGGTTTAGGGTTTAGGGCTGAGGGTTTAGGGTTTGGGGTACAAGGGGGTACTCGGCTGGGAGCTGTTGTAGCACACTGTGTCAGCTTGTAGGCACCCCCTCTTTGTGATACTGCCGGTGAGTGCCCACTTCTCTGAAAACATGCTCCTTTTGTGTTCAGAATTGGGCAAAGTCACCAAGTCAACAAGTGGTACATCTGCTGCAACCCTGACCCCCTCATAAATCAGAGCACACGCCCGGCACACCCTTGAACTGCAGAGACCCTACGCCTTCACAGTGATCTCCTTCACGACTTTGGATGGAAGGATATCCGCCACCATCGCTTGGTCCTCCTGCGATCATGAGGTTGCGATTATGAGGTTTTTGGGCTGCAACTACACTAGGATGACCCTTGAAACCCTTTGAGAAAGATTCCTGAATAGGATCCTCTTAAACCCCACTAAGGGAAAGGATGAAATGTCCGAAGGGCCTACCTAGTACGCGACCTCTGCCGCATAGATCTGGGCTATTGCGGACCCGAAGGCAGAGGTCTGCCGAGGTTGCTTGCGTCATTCTTATAAGCATCTGCTCTCTTTTCTGGTTGCCACTGTTGGAGCAGGAAGAGTTACTTTTGTACGAGTAGCATGGCGTAGAACATACTACCTTACTTGGAGGTTCATGGTACTTAGTAACTAAGCATAGCTGTAGTTATAACTTATAACTGTACTTATAGCCATATTCGGGCACTTAAGGGGCTTCTCAGTGGGTTATAAGTATAGTTACACTTGGTTCATAAGTACCATGGACCTCCAAGTAGGGGGTCATATGCCGCCTCCCCACATCGCAAAAGCATCCGGCCTGGGGAAGTCCCGACAGCAGCCTCAGCGTATGGTCTTGAAATTCTCGTGGGTTCCCAGGTCCAGGCTCATGCCATTTGGAGTCTTTGGATTCGGATGTGGGAGATTCCGGGCCTTCTGGCGTAGATACAGGTCTCTGGCACAAGGTGACGGTTCGGCAGGTCTGCAGACGATGGGGTACTTGCTTTCAGTCACGCAAGGTCCTTGCGACTTGCATATGCACCGGACCAGGAATGAACGGATGTAGGATATAGGAGGTAGTTAGGATGAGATCCTTTATCTCAGTGAATTTGCACAGCTAAACTGCCCCAAATCCCGAAACCCTAAACCTTGGCATGTTCCCCCTTATACAAACAGCCCTTAGTAGGGATTGTAGTACCCCCCTATAATAACCCCTAGTAAGGACTGTCAGTACAATTTGGAACATCCCAACCGAAACCTCTGAAACCCGCTCCGAGGCGCTTCTGGGCAGAACTGAGTCGCACTTTTCCAGGCCCCAGGGAGACGTGGTCCATGGCCAGGAGCTCCTCAGTGGAGCTCTGTGTTCAGGGGTTAAGGGTGTCTTGACCATACATTCTTTTTTCAGATTATCACGTTCCTCGACGTTTCCACTTCTGTGTAATATGGGTACTTTTACTACAATAGGGGCACCTCGTTGATACCCCAAATAGAATAGAATCCCCTTAAAGGGACTCCCTATTTTCGGAAACCCCTCTCTGCTTGTTGCTAAACAAGTATAGATGCCAGAAATGGAGACCCCCATCCGAGCAGCGCCATGGCAGCATTGCAGCCCGAAAGCTCAAACAACCCAAACCCTTTTTGAGGAATTCCGGGTTTAGGGTTTAGGGTTTAGGGTTATAGGGTTTAGGGTTTAGGGTTTAGGGTAAAGGGTTTAGGATCGCTCCACGGCCCGCCTTGAGGAGGTTGGGCCGCACGTCTTCGACCAAAGCCTCATTCCGCTTGAACTTCGGCGGTCGATTTCTCTCTTAATTTTTGGGTTCAAGGGAGGACCATTGCGAAGATATTTCCTAGCGACTGGTGTCCAAAGCGGATACAATAGAATACAATAGTTTTTGTATAAGGAATAGAATCATAGAATAAAGGAAGAATGGCATAATAGAATCATAGAATCATATAGTGGAACAATATGTTGATCTGATTCTATAATCATCTGTGAACATAACAAAAGAATAAGGGCCACAGCAGCGGCGATTTACGGCACATGCTTCAGGATGGCCTCCGACAGGCTGCCGGAATGAAAATCACACCGACCGGCCTTCAAGATGTCTCCAGTCTTGGTGACCTGTTGCTGGGTTCAGGGTTTAGGGTTTAGGGTTGAGGGTTGAGGGTTTAGGGTGTAGAGACTTAGTTGTCCAGTACCCTAGGGAACTAAAGGTTTTTTACCATTGGGATTACATGGGGTTACAGTACCCCAAAAAGGTTAAAGGCTGCCTACTCTACTACTAAGGAGATGGGTCTGAAGCTCAAAGGGCACTACACTGTCCTGAGCCTAATCAAAGCCTAAACCCTAAACCCTACATCCCAAACCCTAAACCCTAAACTTCCTTCCGGCCTGCGAGCTCGGGCACCCTTTCAGCAGGCTCAGCGCTATGGTGAACTGATCCTGCCGGGCAACGCAGGAAACTGAGCTGAGGCTCATCATACTGTTTCGGGCTTACCTGGGACTCTACTTACCTACGGTCTAGTAGTAAGTACCCTTAATTCGTAGGTATGACCCAGAAAACTGTAGGTAAAGAAGGTCCCAGGTAGGCATAGGACTTTACAATCCTGAACCTGGAGCTCTGTGATGATACTGGCACGTACAGCGGAACAGGGACCGTGGTTTCTGTCGCCCTCTCTCCTGGATGTTAAAGCTCTGCTGGGTGGAGGCCACCATGTCGGCCATTTCGGTGAATCTTGGCTAGGGTTTCGGGTTTCGGGTTTAGGGTTTCGGGTTTAGCGTTTACTTGCCCCTAAACCCTAAACCCCAAACCCCAAACCCCAAACCCTAAACCCTAAACCCTAAACCCTGACCCCTAAACCCTAAACCCTAAACCCTAAACCCTAAACCCTAAACCCTAAACCCTAAACCCTAAACCCTAAACCCTAAACCCTAAACCCATTCGCAGGGCAATGGCTTCCCACACCCCCACCGAAGCTGAGTCTGCGGCTGCTTGGAGCCCTGCCTCCCAGACATGGACAGGGAGGTCCTGAGTAGTGGGTTTGGGGTTTAGGGTTTAGGGTTTAGGGTTTCGGCGTTTTTTGATAGGGCTTAGGGTGTTGAAGTGATAGGGCCTTAGAGTGTTGAGAGGGTCTCAGCTTTTTGGGTTTAGGGTTTAGGGGGTTTTGAGGCTTCTAAGGCGGCATAGGGGCTGATGGAGCTCAACAGAGCTGGTGGGGTTTGAGAAGTAGGGTTTAGGGTTCAGGGTTTAGGGTTTAGGGTTTAGGAAGTTTTGCAGCTTTACAGCTGGGGCCAGGCTAAAAGTCCAATGAACTGGGCACGCGTCCCTTAAAGGTACCATGGCATATTGTGGTAGTTCTGCATTGGGGGTCTCATTTGAATATTTACAGAACGGCATTCAGAACCTCCGAAAAAGATATTCCTACACATGATCCTCCAAGACCGACGAAAGAAAGTATAGAATATCCCAAGGGCCTACCCTAAACCCTAAACCCTAAACCCTAAACCCTAAACCCTAAACCCTAAACCCTAAACCCTAAACCCTAGACCCTAAACCCTAAACCCTAAACCCTCCGAGAATAGAGTATCAGTCATACACGGGAAAACTTGGGGTTCCGGGCGCCAGGTCGACGTCCGGCTCCTTGGCTTTCTTGTCAGCTGCCTCAGTCACGATCGTCATCCTTCCAACCAAGGGCGAGAACCGCGACAATATGACACTTTAAGAACAGAACAGGGGGGCTCGTATAACTATGTAAAATCATATCAAGAGAAGAAGGAAAAGTAAGATAAGACGATAATCAAATAATAAGATAATGAGCTATAGTTGTATTCATAGAGTAATATAATAACATAAGCATATAGTGATAGAACTTTATACTAATATACTAATATAGTAATATATGAATTTGAAATATGTAATGTAAAACTATAAAATACAATAGTAATAACAGTAAAGCAATATTCGAATCTGACGATATACGAATACACAAATACAAGAATGTAAGAATCTACTTGTATAAGATTTCGCGAATAACAAAACCAAAACAAACACATAAACATATAACACTATAATACAACAAACAAACTCATGAATGATATCCGTAAAAAAATTCAATACAATAACTAAACACTTCTACCATAATATAATAACATACTGATCTATAATACAAGAATTGGAGAATATAATGACATAATATAATACTATAATAGTATAACTTTTCACTGATTTAAAATATAATAATATACTATAGCAACCTGGTCGTAAAATCTAGACCATAGGCTACAATGACATAATATAGCAATTACCATAACACCAGAATATAAGATAAGATGCAAATACACATGTAATTCTAGTGATATAATCTATGGCTTGCTTCTACGTTGAGGCTGCCCCTGCCGCTATTCGCATCGCTGAGGCCCGTGCCTTCTGAGCCTCCTTCAACTTGCTTCGCAGAGCCTCAAGCTCCTCGAGGTTGAGCCGCTTTGGAGTGCGGCTCAAGATGGATTAACTAGGATGGCCCTTACAACTCTTTGAACAATATATAATCCCTCTTAAACCCAATAAGAGAAAATAGAAAATATTTCAAGGGCCTATCTAGTTAATGGCAGGGTTGAGGCTGAGGGTTTGCTGCGGGAGGCGGTGCTCCTCCTGCAATGAAACGCATAAGTGTATACACCTTGCACAAGATTCCGCGTCACCGGGTACATCCTGACACCAAATGTTACTTGCTTCAAACATTCCCACCCAAGAACTACGCAATTTCGTGGGCAGTGCATTGCTGATCTGGGAATTACGGTTAGGCGCTCCAGGGGTAGACTGTGGGATTCTCTGGGGTTGGGCGCTCCGCAAGATTCCTTGCGGGGATCCCCTGCAGGACCTCTGGCCCTAAACCCTAAACCCTGAACCCTAAACCCTAAACCGGTTCATTCTGAGATCCGGCCTGGCTCTGCTCCTCTTTCATCTTCGCCATCTTTTCGCGAAGGAATGCAGGTTCCTGCCGCAGGAGTTGCTTCTCGAAATTGGCGAGCAGTTCAGCTTGCATGACCCCCGCCATGACATTTTCAAGCAGGCAGTCCTTGATCAGTGCTTCCTCAGTGGTCCGCGCTTCGTCCCATCATCACAACAAGAAGTCATGGAGCTTGCTGCTTCCGATGTGATAGAACGTGTGCAACCCGAAAGGGTCCATGTACCTATGTATTAGATACTTGGGCCTTAAACAGGGTTCGCTTCCTACATAGTAGCTTTAGGGCCCAAGTATATACGATATAGGTTCATGGACCCTTAGGGAACTGAATCAGATCATCAAGCACATCGTACTAAGCTTCCTGGCAGCTTTCTCCCGCCACTCTTGTGCCTCAACCTGTACTTCCTGCGCAGCGCTGAAGCGACCATCTTGTATTAGCATGACTGCTTGCTTGGGCGCTGAATACCCCAGCCCGCAAAAGGGTTTACCTGTGTATGTATATATATATATAGTAGGATTCTATACAAAGGATACCTGCCCAGCCCCTATGCTTGTGTACTCTGAATATTGCTAGTTGTTGCTATTGATGCGTGATGAAGTTGCCATGTGTCATTCGCTGTTTATTGTTGCTTGCCATTGCTGCTGTTATTGACTTTTTTGAAATTAGGGGCAACACGCTAAGCAACCCAGGGTTATGGGGGTTTAGGGTTTAGGGAAGGGTTTACACAGCTGCATGTCTAAAGCCGCAAGTGGATGCCTAACGTTGGCTGATTCCTGCACGACCTGCGCAAGTAAGTTTAGGGAAGTTTCGGGGCAGGCTCAGGGTGAAAAGCTATGGGGGGTGGATGACAGAGCCAACACTACAATCGTGAGAGAGAGACGCGAGACCCTAAACCCTAAACCCTAAACCCAGAACTACATCTGCAGTTGTTGGCCCATTGTCCTCCAGGGATTGCTCCAGGTCCTTGTTCAGCGACTCCGACTCTTGCCTCGGTTGGGGCTCCTAGGGTTTAGGGTTTAGGGTTTAGGGTTTAGGGTTTAGGGTTTAGGGCTAGGGTTGAAGCCCCATGAGATTGCCAGGAGTCTGAGCTCGGCACCACATTCGGGTGGTCTGCAGAAAGGCCTGGAAAACAAGATCAGCTTGCCGGCTGCTACTGCTCGCAATCGCGCATTTGCCAGATACATTCTAACGGGCTACATGCTGCTGCTGGCTGTCGCAGGTCGCTTCTTTTGACATCCCGCAAGTACCTGCAAGTAGACCGTTGCGCGGCCTTTTCTTGATTGAACACGACACACACACCTCTGCCAAGCGGTGCGAGCTTACAGAAATCTCACAAGCTTGGAAGCTTGTGGCCATCAGTACAATAGCAGCGGGACACGGCCTAATGCTTGGAACCTTTTAGCCCCATCCTGGGCTCACACTTCGTGACTGAGCACGGGCTGCCCATCAGTTTTTTGCTGGCAGGCTGCGGCTCACTTCTTCTCAGCATTGCCTGGCATTCGTGTGATCGGTACTTGCAAGTACTTGTACTCATGAAGTGGCAGACACAGCCACAATCACTCTCTCTCTCTCTCTCTCTCTCTCTCTCTGTGTCTGGGTGTGAGTGCGCGTGCGCGCGCGCGTGTGCGCGCGTGCGCGTGCGCGTGGTTGCGCGCGTGGTTGCGCGCGTGTGCGTGCGCGTGCGCGTGCGCGTGCGCGTGGTTGCGTGCGTGGTTGTGTGGGCATGCGCGTGCGTGTAATGCCTCGCATCAGTACAAACCCACAAGAAAGGCGTAGCGCCGCAGTCGCTGCATGTCGTAGCACTGCAAAGTATGCAACTGGAAGAAACCAACATGCAGAGGGCGACGGTTCTTGGCCAGTGCGCCGAAGAAGCTTTTGACTCCGGAGAGCCTGCCTGGAGAAGGTTCACCCTGAACCCTCTTTAGGGTTTCGATGCTTCAGGCGTTGGAGGTTCTGAAAAGCAGCATGGCACAAGGAGTCACAGACACTGGCGGACTCCAGGAAACCCAGATAGGGCTCCGAACCCTCCGACTGCAGCACTTAAGAACCATTCAGAGCAGTGCAGGCAGGTGGAATTATGTTGGTACTTCGTGGAGTTTCTGATGTACTTGGCTTAATTCTTTGATGAATGGCACTGGGGGCTGCAAATAAAGCGAATTGGCAAAGACGACGCTTCCTTCCGAGACGTGGCTGGCCTTGTTCTGCCTCACGATGCGCCACGGCAAGGTAAACCATGGCCAGGCCGACCAAGCAAATCACCTGAATCAGCAAAATGTAACGACTAAGCCCGAGCCCGAAAACAGATATAGGGTTCTTAAGGGAGGGGGGGTTCAAGGGGGGGAGGTACCTAGGGAACCTTATAGGGAAGCTTAGGGAGCCATAGGAAGTAGTGGGGAGTATTAGGGAACCTTGGGTTACATACCCCCCTTGAACCCCCTCCCTGAATAACCCCCATAAAACCGGGAATGTGCGAGTTTTTTCGGGTTTAGGGTTCAGGGTGAGTACCTGAACTCCTCTCGTCCGCATGCCCAGGCACTGCTCTGAGGAGAAGGTCCCATGGGAGGATCGCCATATCTTGCGCCTGCAAACTAACAAACGAACAAAAAAGAAACATAACAAAACAAAACAACACAAAACCAAACAAAAAGTAAAAACAAAACCAACACACAAAACGAATAGCCCCTCAGATCTCGGAAACCAAGTAGGGTTCGGGTTTCTTTCTTCGTATTGCTTCGGTTCGAAGTTTGCACCAGACAAGG